TTTGAGCTAGAGCGCTGAAAATTGGTCTCCAGAGGTAAAAAGCATATGAAACTCGATTTTGATAGTTTCAGACCCGTATTGTGAACCTCGGACTATGAAATTACAATTTTGAAAGTTCCAGAAGTAAAATTTGAGTCTGAAACTATCGAAAATCGAATTTCCGTACTTTTTCACCCCTAGCACTCAGTTTTCAGCTTGTTAGCTNGAATTGTCGTGAAATGTGATGCTTTGTCTGCAAACACCGTGTAGATNAAGGNTTCGGGCCGGTTCGGCCGGTTCGGCCCGTTCGAATTTAAGAAAAAACAGAAATTATTGAAGAATTATTCTACCGTATAGCACAAATCTTGTACTTTCTGTTAGTTATCTAATCAGCCTTTTCCAATGCCCTTTGACTGAAAAAAAATTCACCTCATAATAGGGTATCAAAAAAGGGTTCACTTCAATTTCAATTCGTTGTTACCGGAGTTCTACAAGGAAGACACCCATAATTTAGTGGGGGCGTCGGCAGCAAGTCATTGACAACAATGGTCATTACCTTCAGTTGATCCGACATTGCTTTGGCATCTTTTACATTGAATGTATCTGAAGATAAAAATGACGCGAACTTTCCGAACAACCTAAGTTTTTTTTCTCGAAATTAAGAAAATCTTCAGAATCGAGGATGTTCATCTGGAAATAAGAAAACGTCAGAAATTAGCTGCTGAAACTGGAGAAAACCAAAAGTGAGCCGGATTTTTTTTTTTTGAAAATTGTGTAAAATTTTTTGAAAAAAATATATCCCCAAACTTTCAGATGCACCAATCCGTTCTGTACAGATGATGCCATGATGTCTTGCCGATTGAAATTTTGCAAGTAATAAATTTTTTTTAATTTCGAAAAAAAATTTACTATTTTTTCAGAAATTGCTATGAATTCTTCCAGAAATACAAAAAATTCCGAAGCGAGAGAGCTATAAAACTAATGGAAAAACAGAAGAAAACGCAAGAAATTGTTAAGGAAAAGTGAGTTTTTGAAATTTCGAAAAAAAATTTCTGAAATTCTGAATTTCAGGAAATTTAAAGTTTTTATGAAAATTCCAATTTTCAGACCCGAAAGTCCACCGAGGGACCGCAGCCGTTCTCCAGATGAGTTTCCAAATTTGAGTTTGGAAAAGAAAATGGTAACTTTTGAATTTCTGAATTTCTGAATTTCTGAATTTCTGAATTTCTGAATTTTTGAATTTTTGAATTTCTGAATTTCTGAATTTTTGAATTTTTGAATTTCTGAATTTCTGAATTTCTGAGTTTTTGAATTTCTGAATTTCTGAATTTCTGAATTTTTGAATTTCTGAATTTCTGAATTTCTGAATTTCTGAATATCTGAATTTAGGAATTTAGGAATTTCTGAATTTCTGATTTTCTAAATTTCTGAATTTCTGAATTTCCAAATTTCTAAATTTCTGAATTTCTGAATTTCTGAATTTCTGAATTTCTGAATTTTTGAATTTCTGAATTTCTGAATTTTTGAATTTCTGAATTTCTGAATTTCTGAATTTCTGAATTTCTAAATTTCTAAATTTCTAAATTTCTGAATTTCTGAATTTCTGAATTTTTAAAAAATTTTCAGTTCCTTGACGACATCATTCAAGCGATAAGAGATGAGGATTATGAATCGGATTGGTCCATGTCGTCTCGATGAAATGTTCTAAATTTGATTTTTTAGAAACTGCAACTTCGAGAAATTTGTTTTTTCTTTTTTTTTTTGTATTTTTAACCAGCAAGCTGGTGCACCTTCGGCGCGATTTAACCTAGAATTTCACTGATTTGTCGTCCGTTCCTTCTCTTAAAGGGTCACGTAAATCTATGTTAATTTTTCAAGCTTTTTGAAAGTAGACAGCCTGACACTGGGACACACAGACAGACGCGTGTAGCATTTTATTTATAAGGAAAATAACTTTTCTAATATTTTTAATAAATCGTTGATTTCTTTTTCGTGTTTTCAGATTTTCAAATTTTTCAAATTTTTTTAATTTTCAGGTTTTATAAAACAGAAATCGTGATATTCAATAGTTCAGAAATGTTTCAAAGATTTGAAATTTTGCCATGTTTGGAGATTTTCAGGATTTTTTGAATTTCCGATTTCACAATGAACTCTTTCACCAGTTTTTTCAATAATTTGAATTTTCCAATTTTCCAATTTCTGAACCTTTTTCTTTCCTTTTTCTTATCAGATTTTGCCGAAAACGATCTCGGCGGAGGAGACCAAATTTTTGGGTTTAGGTAGAAAAAAAAAGGAAAAAAGAGATGCCAAAATTGGGGTCAATGTAGGAAAAAAATTGGCAAAAAAGAAGAAGATAAATTTCTTAGTTTCTTATTTATTTTCCTTTTTTAACGGTGAAAAAAAAATCAAAAGTCAGAATTTTCGAGAAAATTTTTTAGTTTTTCGAAATTATCTTCAAATTTGAAGATTTAAAAATTGAAGTTTCGAATTTTCTGAATTTCTGAATTTTTGAATTTCTGAATTTCTGAATTTCTGAATTTCTGAATTTCTGAATTTCTGAATTTCTAAATTTCTGAATTTCTGAATTTCTGAATTTCTGAATCTCTGAATTTCTGAATTTCAGAAAATCCAAAATTTTCAGAAAAATGGAATTTTTCAAAAACTGCCAAATGTGCTCGAATGTCCTTGACGAGGTGCCTCAAGTGAAATTAGGTGTTTTCTGGGAATGCAGGTACAGTAATCCAGAGAAATACAGTAACCCGAAAAATTTGTTTCTTTTTCAGAGTCTGTTTCAACCTGACTCCAATGTGGAAAAACTTCGAGTGAGTTGAGAAATCGAAATTTACAAAAAATGGACCAAAAATTAAGAAATAATGGTTTAAAACTCATGAAAAATGATCCAAATTTATCAAGATGTTATTTTGAAAAATTCCAAACATTTTCAGCCCATCTTTGCCTCTCAAAGTTGAAATTCCGGCACCATCTCTGGAAACTTGCCCAATTCTAAAAAGTTTGATAATGGAGTCACCCCCAGCGACTCCTCAAAGCGATATTCAAAACTGTCCAAAGCTCAAGAAAATGCTCATGGCTCCAAAAAAAGGATTTGAAATTCAGAATTTTAGGTAAAGTTTAAAAACTCCCAAAAAAAAATTTTTTGAAATATATTTGAAATTTTTCAGAATCAAAACTGAAATTCCAGAATTTGAAAATGATTGGACCACAAGAAAAATGAGGTTGGCAATTTTTTTTTTTGGAATTTTCAAGAAAAAACTGATTTTTCAAAAAATTTGCAGAAATGCATCGTACACCGTCAAAACTGAGCAATTGGTCTACAAGAACAACTCTAACCAATTCAAACAAAATGCAAAAATTGAAATTTTTGAGCCAAATTCACAAATTTGCTCCCCAAATTGGAATTTTTCAGATTATCATTCGAATTCTTTGAACTATTCAAATTTCCATCAGTATCCAGAACTCAAGCCAAATTTTGATTAGTTTCAAAATTTTTTTTTCAGATTTTCAGATTTTTCAAAAAAGTTCTAGAAGCGTAATTGTTGTGTTTCTACCTCAAATTTAATAAATTTGTATTTTAATTTTTAATGTCAAATGAATAAATAAAAACAGTGGAAGTGCACCAAAAACAAAAAACAAAACGAATAAATTTTAAACTATATTTAAAAAAATTTTTAAAAATTTTTAAATAAATTTTAGAATAAATTTTTTTAAATTCGCCTTTTTTCAAAATTTCAAAATTTTATTTTTCACGTTCTTCTTTTTTTAATGACCTTCGAAATATATTCTTTTTCCGAATGAACCGATATATCTATACGTATAAACCGTCCCCGCTCGGCGGGACGGTTTTCGGATATAAGATTTTAAAAAATTGAGAGATCATTGAAAAATAAGAGACGCAGAGAATTTTTTTTTCTTTTTCGAGGGACGACTAATTCGCCAATAAATTGTCTCCAAATTTTGCGTTTTTCGGAAAGGAAAGTTCGAGAAACCATGAAACCCGTTTCCTTAGACCCAAGTGGGGATTGTTAAACGATAAAAAAAAGAAAAAATGATAAAAAAAATCATGAAACTGATCAAAAATACATTTTTGCATTTTGGACCTTTTCTATTATTTTACTTTACGAAAAAAAAGTCAAATTTGAAAAAGTTGAGCTATCATTCTTTTGGGTCCAGGTTTAGGTCCACAATTTCCAGATTCCTTTGGTTCATTCTGAAATTTTTTTTTTTGGGAATTTTATTCATAAAAAAATTATCTGAAAATACCTGAAAATCCACGTCATCAAGTTGCAGAACTGGAAGTTTTTCGATTTGCTCAATTTCCAATAAAAAGTTTTCAGCAAAAATCTGATTTTGAATTTTTCGGATTCCAGATTTTTCAGATTCGTCTCTGAAATAAGAAAATTTGAAACAAAAAATGTTTTTTGAGCTGAATTTTTGTCAAAAATTGATTTTTTTTGAGCTGAATTTTTGTCAAAAATTGATTTTAAAAAGTTTGAAAAAAAATCTTACTGTAACTATTGGGGTATTTCAGCTTTTTCAGATTTTTTTGGTCTTCCACGTCTTCCAAATTTTCCAGATTTTCCAGGTTCTTGAATTTTCGGTTTTTTTGAAATTTTCTTTTTTTCGAAAATTCCCTTTTGCCATTTGTTTCTCCTGATTTTTCTATTCCTTCTCTTTTTCGTTTTTTTAGAAACCAAACTTTTTGTAATTTTCAGCTCTTTTTTGGAAATGTCAGGTTTCTTTGGAATTCCAAAATTTTTGGAAAATTTCAAAAGTTCCGATTCGAAAAGTAATCCTCGTTGTAGTTGTCCGTAGCAGAATCTGAAAAAAAATGAAAATTTGATATTTCAGAATTTCAGAAAACTCTGAAATTCAAAAATTCCAGAAATCCAGAACATTTTCGAATTTTTGAGTTTTTCGAATTTTCTGGATTATCAGATTTTTCCGATTTTCTGAGTTAATGGATCCTGAAAGTCAGAAATTCAGGAATTCAGGAATTCAGAAATTCAAACATCCAGGGATCCAGGAATCCAGGGACCCAGGGACCCAGGGACCCAGGGACCCAGGGACCCAGGGACCCAGGGATCCAGGGATCCAGGGATCCAGGGATCCAGGAATCCAGGGACCCAGGGATCCAGGGATCCAGGGATCCAGGGATCCAGGAATCCAGGGACCCAGGAATCCAGGGACCCAGGGATCCAGGGATCCAGGGATCCAGGGATCCAGGAATCCAGGGACCCAGGGATCCAGGGATCCAGGGATCCAGGGATCCAGGGATCCAGGGGTCCAGGGATCCAGGAATCCAGGGACCCAGGGACCCAGGGAACTAGGGACCCAGTTCCCCATTCAGAAATTTAGAAATTCAGAAATTCAAAAGTTCAGAAAAAACTTACCTGCAAACTTCAATTTTTGCATTTTCATGAAAAAATTCCAAAAATCTTCCTGAAACTTTTTGTTTGCATAACTAACATCTGAAAACTTTAATTCTCAAAAATTCAAGAAAAATTCCAAAATCTTACTTTTCCCAATTCTCCACTGTTACACATTCCTCATTTTCCAAAATTTTTGAATTTCCCAAATTTTCGAAAACCACAAAAATCACGTCATCTTCCTTTTCATAATGGTCCAATTTTTCAGAATTTTTCGAATTTTTCAAATTTTCAAAAACCACAAAAATATCATTTTCTTCTTTTTTGAAATGATCCGGTTTTTCAGAGTTTCTTGAATTTTCCAAATTTTTGAATTCCACAAAAATTTCATCGTCATCTTCTTCAAAATTTTCCAGATTCTCAGAATTTTTTCCAGAAAAATTATTCAGAAAATCCGGATGATCATTCGTAATTTCTGGAAAATCTGGAAATTTCTCCTTGATATTTTCTAAGAAAAATTTCAAAATATCCAATTCGAAACAGTCTCGAAAATTCAAAGAATGCAGACTTTCTAACCTGAAATTTCAAAAAATTGTATTAAATTTTTTTTTGGAAAAAAAATCTCACCAAAATTTTTCTTCCAGAGCTTTTTCAATTTCCAGAACTTGGACGAATTCTTTGAGAAGATAGTTTTTGTAGCATGTGCTAAAAATAACACTAAAAATGCGTCAAGGCAGCAGAAATGTGCCAAGGCACCAAAAATGTGCCAATGCACTAAATATGTGTCAAGGCGCCAGAAATGTGTCAAGGCACCGAAAATGTGCCAATGCACTAAATATGTGTCAAGGCGCCAGAAATGTGTCAAGGCACCGAAAATGTGCCAATGCACTAAATATGTGTCAAGGCGCCAGAAATGTGCCAAGGCACCGAAAATGTGCCAATGCACTAAATATGTGTCAAGGCGCCAGAAATGTGTCAAGGCACCGAAAATGTGCCAATGCACTAAATATGTGTCAAGGCAGCAGAAATGTGTCAAAGCACCGAAAATGCACGAATGCACTAAACATGTGTCAAAGCGCCAGAAATGTGTCAAGGCACCGACTATGCGTCATGACACTAAAAATGCGTAAAGACAGTAAAATTGCGTCAAGTTACTAGAAATGCGTCAAGGCACTAGATAAGTACCTAGTCACCAAAAATGCATCAAGTCAGTAGAATGGCGTCAAGGCACTAGAAATGCGTCAAGACCTCAAAAATGCGTCAAGACATTAAAATCTTATCAGGTAACGAAAAATGAGTTAATGCCCGAGAAATTCGTCAAGGCACCAAAAACACGTTAAGGCACTTGAAATCTGTCAAAGCTCAAGAATCTCGTTAAGGCCCTCAAATCGCGCCAAATCACGTGAAATGCGTCAATGCGCCGAAAATGCGCCAAGGCACGAGAAATGCACCTAGACACCAAAATCGTCAAAGCACGAGAAATGCGCCTAGACACCAAAAATGCGTCAAAGCACGAGAAATGCGCCTAGACACCAAAAATGCGTCAAAGCACGAGAAATGCGCCTAGACACCAAAAATGCGTCAAAGCACGAGAAATGCGCCTAGACACCAAAAATGCGTCAAAGCACGAGAAATGCGCCAACACTCACCTACAAACATTTTTCGTCCTTCCAGGGAAAATAAACAAATGGGAATTCGTCGAAAAATCCGGGCATTGAAAATTCCAGCATCTGGAAATTAATGTTTTTTTTTGAAATTTTCTGAAAAAATCTGAAATTTACGAAAATCTGAATTTCTTCTCCGGCGAAGTGGGTCCATAAATTTCGTCGTCCTTTTTTCGTTTCCGAATTTCTGGGCATTTATTTTCAGCAAATTCTTTAATTCTGAAATTATTTTCAGATGAAATTTGGAAATTCTGAGATTAAGGAAATTTTTCCCAGGGACCCAAGGACCCAGGCATCCAGGGATTCTTCTAATCTGAATTTATTCTCAGATAAAATTTGGAAATTGAGAAATTCGGGAAATGTTTTTAAAATTTAAAATTTTAATTTTCAAAAAAAAACTCACTCCTCAAATCTCAGGTTTTTCGATTCGAATTCAAGATAATCCATAGAAAATATCGATTTTTGATTTTTTTTTTAAATTTCAGCTCCTAAAAAAATTTCAGAATAAACCATTTTTTGACACTTTTCGCACTTTTATATCGAACCTTTTTTTATACCGTATCAGTGACCTCAATTTTTATCTTTTATCAATGATATTGATAATGATATCAATCATTTTGACACGGTTGATCTAGATGAAGAAGATGAACGGGTTCGTTCTGCAAATTTTTTTTTCGCCGAAAGATTTCCTAATGGATTTTTGGAGATAAAATCTAGAGAATCTGAATTTTTCGAATATCCTGGTTTGAGACCTTCAGCGAGTTTTTCTTCTCAGAAATTCGAGATATTTTTGAGATATGCGCCTTTAAAGAATAGGCGTGCACCGAGGACGCCGGAAGAGTGATGACGGGTCTGCGTTCCAACTTTAAAGGCACATATCTCGAAAACAATGAAAGCTAGCAAAAATTGGCTCTTTCCGGGAAGAACGGTCCCAACGCGGTCCCATCATTGGACCGCCGGTTCCAACGAATTGCGACAACGGTCCCAACCAGGCTTAATCTGTAAACCCTATTGGAAACATCGGAATTTGTAATTTTTGTTTCAACTAACAAGGGAAGTGTTTTTAGAAAGGCTTTGAGAATATTCTGAAACTTTGGCCTATAGTACTTTCGAACATGCTGATTACAGTGCTGTTGTTGTTTTTCCCCCCGTATCTACTCACCAGAGATGAGCGGAAGAGATTTACTGTTTTTTACGGAAGACGGTTTATTTTCTGGGGGGGAAATGCTACCAAAAAGTTGTGAACGGACAAAATGTAGATCTCAATGAGAGTTATTTATTGGTATAAAAGTTATCTCATAATAGTGATGGAGAGTTGAGATATGGCGTTTCTTCCGTGTTCCGTCTGGCACACGGAAGACGGAAGACGGAAGAAAGACTCTATTTAAAAAATCCAACAAAATTTCAAAACAATTTTTATACCAATCGATAGCTCTCATTGAGATCTACATTTTGTCTGTTGACAGCTTTTTGGTAGCATTTTTCATTTCGAAGATAAACCGTAAATTTCCGTAAATTTCCGTAAAACTCTTCCGCTCATCTCTGCTACTCACTAAAAAGTTATGGGCTTTTAAAGTGATTTCAGTACTATTAGGTTGGCTAATAAGTCTTTGCGCATTTTTGTTTTCCTCGTTTCTCTTAACTGAGCTAGAACAATAACATGATTGTAACAAGGATATGGTATATAAGATTATAAGATTGTTCTGATCTCATTCCGCTTGAGAACTGGATTCCCCCTTTTCATAACCACTGTGTTTGGGTGAAATTTCTGTAAATTTTTTATATTAATTTCTAACCTGAAAGTATCCGATATTTGTCACCACATGGTGAAAGTTAACAAAGACAATGCCCCCCCCCCCCCCCCATAGAAACACCGTTGCAAATTGGGTTGGCAAGTTCAACAACCAGGACCTCAATGAAAGATGAAACTTGCCCCCGGGAGACCAGCTCTTCAAGATTCAAACAATCTGAGAGATCTAGCGGGACCCTTTCCAATCTACCTGTGAAATGTCAATCACTTTAAGGACAATTCATACCACTATTGGAAATGGGTTGTTAACGGAGATATACCTCACAGTTTTGATCAGTTTTGATGTTCAGCGGCGAGTGGACATGAGCATGCAACTTCTTACTCTACACGGGAACTTTAAGCGACTGAATTATATTATCACCTTAGAAAAGAAGAGGGTCATATATACTAACCATCACAGAAATGCGCAATGCCTTGACTTCGTTAAACAGCCAGTAGACGTAATCAAACAGGAATTTCATCCAAAATCAGTGGGCGCAAGCGGAATGAGAGCAGGGCAAATGATGACTATTGTGAAAAACCGTATAATCTTATATAGCATATTCGGTTACACACATATTATTGTTCTAGCTTACTTAGTAGAATAGGAGATAGTGGAGGTAGAATCGGACCTTTTGGAAAAGAAGCAAAGCATCGATACCATGATAGCCAATCTCGATAAATTGGGTTTATGATTTAATTTATCTTTTTTTTCCCTGTTTCAGATATCCGCCATGAGGTTTGGAGCAAGTCTGCGGTCAATTGTCCGTTCTCCTGAGTATTGTATCAATAAAAATTGGTGTACTGTAGCTTTGGAAAAGGTTATAAAGAGCAACAAGTGGAGCAGGGACCCAGGGACCCACTACTTTGACCTAATTTATCTTGATTACTGTAAGAGATATCGAAAAGTGGTCGACTGATAAAATGTTTATCATATCATCAACAACATTTTTTCAGTTTACCACTTTTTGATACCTTTTACAGTAACCGAGATATATGAGCTTAACTACAGTAACCCTAGTTTTTTTCCGGCTCATTAGGTGCTATTTTTTGGGAATGCAGGTACAGTAATCTTTTCTATTCTCTGTATATAATTTTCTGTGATTTTCCGTGTTTTTGACTTTTCTTCACCCAAAAAATGCCCAAAAATCTTCTGACCAAAATAAAAACTAGAGACCCGGGAGATTAAAAAAGGATTTAGATTTTTTAAAGTACAGAAATCCTTCAATTCCTTACTATAAACACATTTATAGTATGTTTGGGGAGATTTTTTATGAGAAGGATAAGGATTAAGGATTAGCAATGGACACGGAAAAATATTTGATGAGGGTTACTGTAGGTATGAGTAAGAGGAAGAAATTGGAATTTCTGAATTTCTGAATTTCTGAAGTTCTGAATTTTTGATTTTCTGAATTTCTGAATTTCTGAATTTCTGATTTTCTGAATTTTTGAATTTCTGAATTTCCGAATTTCTGATTTTCTGAATTTCTGAATTTCTGATTTTCTGAATTTCTGAATTTCTGAAGTTCTGAATTTTTAAATTTCTGAATTTCTGAATTTCTGAATTTCTGAATTTCTGAAGTTCTGAATTTTTGATTTTCTGATTTTCTGAATTTCTGAATTTCTGAATTTCTGAATTTTTAAATTTCTGAATTTCTGAATTTCTGAATTTCTGAATTTCTGAATTTCTGATTTTCTGAATTTTTGAATTTCTGAATTTCCGAATTTCTGATTTTCTGAATTTCTGAATTTCTGAATTTCTGAATTTCTGAATTTCTGAATTTCTGAATTTCTGAATTTCTGAATTTCCGAATTTCTGATTTTCTGAATTTCTGAATTTCTGAATTTCTGATTTTCTGAATTTCTGAATTTCTGATTTTCTGAATTTCTGAATTTCCGAATTTCTGATTTTCTGAATTTCTGAATTTCTGAATTTCTGATTTTCTGAATTTCTGAATTTCTGAATTTCTGAATTTCTGAATTTCTGAATTTCTGATTTTCTGAATTTCTGAATTTCTGAATTTCTGAATTTCTGATTTTCTGAATTTCTGAATTTCTGAATTTCTGAATTTCTGAATTTCTGAATTTCTGAATTTCTGAATTTCTGAATTTCCGAATTTCTGATTTTCTGAATTTCTGAATTTCTGAATTTCTGATTTTCTGAATTTCTGAATTTCTGATTTTCTGAATTTCTGAATTTCCGAATTTCTGATTTTCTGAATTTCTGAATTTCTGAATTTCTGATTTTCTGAATTTCTGAATTTCTGAATTTCTGAATTTCTGAATTTTTAAATTTCTGAATTTCTGAATTTCTGAATTTCTGAATTTCTGAATTTCTGAAGTTCTGAATTTTTGATTTTCTGAATTTCTGAATTTCTGAATTTCTGATTTTCTGAATTTTTGAATTTCTGAATTTCCGAATTTCTGATTTTCTGAATTTCTGAATTTCTGATTTTCTGAATTTCTGAATTTCTGAAGTTCTGAATTTTTAAATTTCTGAATTTCTGAATTTCTGAATTTCTGAATTTCTGAATTTCTGAAGTTCTGAATTTTTGATTTTCTGATTTTCTGAATTTCTGAATTTCTGAATTTCTGAATTTTTAAGTTTCCGAATTCCTGAATTTCTGAATTTCTGAATTTCTGAATTCCTGAATTTCTGAATTTCTCAATTTCTGAATTTCTGAATTCCTGACCTTCTGAATTTCTGAATTTCTGAATTTCTGAATTTCTGAATTTCCGAATTTCTGATTTTCTGAATTTCTGAATTTCTGAATTTCTGATTTTCTGAATTTCTGAATTTCTGATTTTCTGCATTTCTGAATTTCCGAATTTCTGATTTTCTGAATTTCTGAATTTCTGAATTTCCGATTTTCTGAATTTCTGAATTTCTGAAGTTCT